TAGCGGTGAGACCTTAGGTCGTCTCCATTATGTCACTCTCTCGTGAAGAGTCAGTCATATGACAGTCATTACTTCACATGACGAAATACGCACATTTTTGAATTAGCGATCCATAGTAGATCACTTCAACATTCTCGTCGTCATGCCATAAACGCTCAAAATCTCCAATCAGACACAAGTGAACGACCGACCTCCTTTTCGTAAGCCCATAACAAGCCGAAAGTTCGATCACAGCGATCAACTTTCTAGTTGCAGCCACGAAGTGTAAAACAACTCCTACTTCCCGCAACCAAGCAAAGTTCGATTCCTGCTATGAGTGGTTCCGATTGCTACGATCAATCCGCCGGTTGTCGCAACTAACCTCTAACCTGCTGCAGCTGTGCGGCCTGGTTGTCATAATCAGAAAGTCGATACGCCCGGAATCTACCAATAAAAATGGTCGTGGCGATCAACTTTTGGTTGCCACAGCCAACCTTTTTTTTTCCGTGCACTTCAGGAGGCATTGCTTTGGTTCTTCTGTAGATCCAGTTTGGTCCATTCGGCTCCCCTTAGCATTCCGCTCTTCTAATTTGTTAACTTACCCACACCCCACCGCTGCCAGATGATGGCTGTGGCATGTCGTTTTGCTTGATGATGACGTTAAGTCCCGACCCTTGGCCAGCCATCGACACGTGACGGAGCGTACATCTGCTGTCGTTGCTCATCGCAGAGTCACTTTATAACAAATCAAGATCTTACTATGTACTCACACATCACATTGATACGAAACGTTTCGCCTTTAGCTCGTCTCCTAAGAAACGTTTCGCCTTCAGCTCGTCTGCAGGGCAGAAAAGTCGTACCTTGCAACAAGAAAATTTTCCTTGCAATCTCATTGTGTACCTGAAATGACCTTCGATCATTTTTGCATTTGATGACGTCAAGATTGATCTTGCATGCCTTGTACTTGATTCAACGCCAACACGAACTTGTTCAAAGGACAAATTCACTTTGAAGCAAAACTGTTTTTCTTAAAAAGGTATCTACTGAAACAAGGCGATATTGCACTTGACCGCTTTGGAAGAAATTATACTTCGAAATTCGCTTGGAACAATGTTCTTGTGAAAAGAAAAACCGACTTAGGTCATTATTAGTAAAACAAGCTGGGCCCGCTCTTCCCCCAAACCAAGTTGCCAGCTCCGCTTCGCTCCACCGGCAACTCGGTTCGGCAGGGAGCGGGCCCAGCTTGGCCTGCCGGCGGCGTTTGGGACGGGCCTTCGGCCCGTCCCTTCTGAATTTTTATGGTGTAATAAATCTTCTATCCGAAAACGGGCCTTTGGCCCGTTTGAGTGACGGCTCG